CACCACCAGGTATGCAAACCCCAGCCGTGGCGGCAGCCACAGTACAAGGGAGAAGGGGAAGAGCACGGGCTCGCAGGCAGGCAGGCCAACATGGCATTCGACAGGGGGGCAGCACCTGGCCCACACCCCGAGGTCACCGGTTCATCTCTGGCCGTGTGATCTCCGCCCAGCTGGCCTGGCCCCGCCACAAAGGGTTCAGGCAAGAACCACAACTAAGAGTGTGACCTTAGCACACCCTGACAAAAACAAGGACAAAGGGGCATGAGAAGGGGTGGGGGGTGATGAATGAATCATATTTTTTTACCAAATCCATATACATCATACACTCCCGTATAATGTATACAGTATAATCTACTCCAGAAACTACTCACCCTCAACTGCATGGCTGAAGTACCAATAGAAACAAGCAGGGCCAGGGAGGCAGCACAGCGGGGAGGGCATCTGCCTCGCACATCCCCCACCTGGGGTAGCTCCTGGCATCCCATACGATGGTCCCCTGAGCATCGCCAGGAGTGATCCCCCAGGACAGAGCCAGGAGTCAGTCCTGAGGACAGTTAGGTGTGGCCCCCAAACTAAACGAATATTACATAGAATCACGCTCCTTGCCAGTTTTAATTTTAGAAAGGGGTAAAAGGGAGTGCATCTGTGGCCTAAAACTATGGACAGTGTACCTCGCTCGCTGCAACATCTTTCAAAGTGTCAAGTTAGTCACAAAAACCAATTTAAAAAAATCCCTTTTTCTTCTAAACTAGTTAAATTCAGTAAAATTGGTTTTTTTGTTTTGTTTTGTTTTTTGCTTTTTGGGTCACACCCGGAGATGCACAGGGGTTACTCCTGGCTCTGCACTCAGGAATTATGCCTGGCGGTGCTCAGGGGACCATATGGGATGCTGGGAATCGAACCCGGGTCAGCTGCATGCAAGGCAAACGCACTACCCACTGCGCTATCTCTCCAGCCCCTAAAATTGTTTTTTTTTTGTTTTTTGAAAGCTCAATAAATTCAACATCCCATCTTACCGGACCGGTTTGTTTGTGGATATCGCCCAGATCATCCCACTTCATATCAAGCTGTTTACAGAGATTCCTCGTGACAAAGGGAATTGGAAGCCAATATGGAAATCAATAGATAAAGTCTGGGCCTCTGTCTGCATCCTCGGACTTTGCCACACACATTAGTGGAATTCCAATGATAATAGTAAATGTTTTGTTAATAGAAGAGCTGACTTACGAGCCACTTGTGTCAAAGAACCATATATGGACTCCACAGCCTGACGCTGCTTTAAGACGCAAGGTGGGAGCCAAGAAACTCGACCACAGGGAAGGAAGGGAAAATATTATCTCGGCACTGATTTCAAACCTCCTCTTGAAAAAAAAAAAAGAAAAATCACCTGGGAACGGCAGGGCTCTCTGAAGACAAAAACAAGGTTTGAAATCCACTGTGTGGCTCAGTATTATCCTCTGTCCCTACTTTACCCTTCCCCAGCTGCAAATTCGAGAAGCAGCAAAACCACAAACCCTCATGCATTGCATCTACTTATTCTGAACGACTTGTTTTCTTCATAAACCAGTATCGAAATAATTTGGAGTGCCGTCACTGGATATCTAGTAAATCACTTACTTTAATGAATCACTTAAGTGGTTTTGTATTTCAGTACAAAGCTCTACCACCGCTGAAAGAAAAGAACCAGCTAGCAAGCTGGAAAGAACTTTCCGGTTCCCTTGGCCTTTCGCTGGAGATGCTCCTTAAAATGCGAAAACGAGACTCCCCTGCAGTAGTCCTTGTCCTTGCTCCACAGACAAAATATTCCCTACAAATAATATTTTCCCTCCCAAGGGCAAAGGACAAGAAAGACATTAAACCAAAATAATGCTAGAATAAAACAGGAGTAAGAAGTTGCTTTCGCGGAGCTGGAGAGGGAAGCCAAGTCCTGACCCCGCAGGCCAGAGATGCTCAGGAAGCAAGCCACACCCTCGGCTCAGGACTAAAACTCTTCAAAGCAATTTCTCTGAACATTTCTCTGGGAAAACCTTCTGCACGGAAGTCTGAAAAAGAGATGACCGAGTACTCCGAAGTGACAGCTTCTCCTATCCTAAAGAAATTGCTCTTGTACAGAAGCAATCACTTGTAAATATCTTCCTAAGTGCCCTTAGCTTGCTGGGTTCTAAATTATGAAGGTTAGATAATTTTGGAAAAAAAAAAAAAAAGAAAGCCAGGTGAGCAGCAAAAATTAATTCAGTTTTGGCTGAATATTCAAAAACTAGTTAGCCGAAAAATATCTCATTTGGCTAAACCCAGGCATAGTACCTGGTAACCATTAAGCAGAAAATCTGAGCTTCATTTCCATATTAAGCCCCTCCTCCAGTAGTTAAAATATGCTTTAAAGTGAAAACACGAAACAGTGAGGGAAAGAGCTGATCTTCTAGCAGAGATTCTTCAACAGAGATAATGAATACGTACAGAAACAACCAAGCGTCAGGACTGGAAAGAACTAAGAGAAAAAAAAAATTTTTTTTTTTTGCATAAATACAGTGACTCTTCAGTTCTTCTCACCCTGACCTAAAATTTTTAAAGCTGGTATGTCAAACCAATAATACATTATGAAGAAAAAGTTTGTTTGGAGTGTTTCAGTAAACAAATCCATAATTTCTAGTAAAAAAGGGAAAATCTAGTGAAATACTTCAATATATACTACACCCTCCAGTGGGCAAGGATCCATGGAAAAATATAAAAAGATTTACTCGGATTTTCCACTCAGTTAAAATCAGTCCTAAAACTAATGAAATGATGGCTCTAAAATCCTCATAAAAATTCACACCATTTTAATCACTTGTCTTAGTATCTGAGTTATAAGAACCAAGAATTTTTTCTAAAAACTAATAATTTAAATCTTACAGATTAACATCAGAAGTTTAGAAAATACTATCAGCCTTATTTAACTTATAAAAGAAAAAAAAAGTTTACAGAATACATCACATATAAAGAGGTATAATTAAAATATAAAGTATACTTTATACCGTGAGCTTCAAACAGTAGCACTAATATTTTAAAGCAAAATCCAGAAAAATTATGGTTCCTTAGTGAAAACAAGGACAGAAAAATTCGTTAAGTTTTTCAGGAAAACAACTTACATTATCACCTGGTAATATTTAGTATTACTGGTCTCATGAGGTTATGCGGTCACTACACAGAAATATAAACACACTTAGAATAAAATCAGGAGACTACCTAAAAGAGCCCTCACTCACTCTCGGTGGCTGGGATTTCAGCACTGACATGATCTACCAGGAGCAAAGATCCGATGAAAAGTCGTCCATGATGATCCAATCCTTTTTATGACTTCCCCAACTTACAGCAGAATACTAAACATTTGTTTACTACATAAATCTCGAAATCATGTATGAAGATGTGCATTTCCCAAAATGTATCAAAAATGTCCGAATAAATAAACTCCAGGAAAAAGTAAAACTAAGACTACTGGAGGTCTTACCACTAGGATAGGAAACTAGTAATTAAAGGACAACAGTGACATCTAGTGGACATTTTAAGTAAATACCACATATACTTGATTGAGTTGAGTTTCATAGGGCCCGCTCGAGCAAATCTACGATCAACGGGAGGGCCTTTACCTTACCTTACCTTCATAGACTTCAACCTGAGAATTTTATAACCAATCTTTAGTTTTAGACCAAAACAGAGCAAGCCTCCTAATGAAGCTTCCTAAAACTTAATGGTCTAATAATTTAATAAAAACATCTAACAGCTAAAGTATAAAAAATAGTGTAATCATTTAGAGAAAGCAATAAATATGTGTTAAAGGTAACCAAATACATTACTCAAAGAAGGGTTAGGAATAGCAGGCATAGTGCAATCATGAAAACAAAAACAAGTTAAATAACGTGGGTGACAAAAAGCACTACAGTAAAAGAAGTTACAAAATGAGAAGCTGAATTATGAATCTATTCGAGTATGGGAAGTATGGTCTGTTGGCATAATAAATGTTTATAAACTAAAAACAACTAATTTACCGAAGATATTTTTCAAAAACAAATGGTTATAAAAATGTACAAGGTCATTCTCTGAAAGGTTCCGTGAGGGATAGCTGCGTACATGCTTCTCAGGTAGGAGGTCGAATTCAACCCCCGGCGCCGCTGCTCCCCTGAGCACCACTGCAGCGATCCCCAAGAACAGAGCCTGAAGTTGCCCCTGAACACAGCCAGATGTGAGTCGAAAAAAGAAGAAAAAGAAAATAACCATCAAGACCAGGTAATTGCCTCAAAACCACAAACAACCTTGAAAGAGGATGATGGGGCTGGAGCGATAGTTCAATGGGGAGGGTGTTTGCCTTGCACGCGGCCGACCAGGGTTCGATCCGCGGCATCCCATATGGTCACCCGAGCACCGCCAGGAGTGACTCCTGAGTGCAGAGTCAGAAGTAACCCCCAAACATCGCTGAGTGCGGCCTCAAAACCAAAGGTTAAAAAAAAACAAAAGATAAAAAGCAACAAAATAAACACATGGACAAATGCCCTTACTCTGCCGTGTCAATATACAAACAAAATTTGTAAGATGCTATATTTAACGACAAAACGAGGCAGGTTTATATAATTTGAATCAAGTATTGTAGTACTAACTCGGAGGAAGAAACATAAATGTAGAAATCGGGTCTTCGTGTCTCTAAAGACCTAACGTGCTGGAGCAGAGGCTTTGTATGCAGGAGGTCGGGGTCCAATCCCTGGCACCGCACGGCCCCCCAGCACCACCAGGAGTGAACCCAAAACCAAAACGGAGAGAGCATTCAAGTTACCGGAAGTCTTCAAAAATCACAGGTGTTGTCTCTCTCACAACTGCCTCACTTAAAGGATCTTATTGACTGCTTGAAATCAGTGATTCCCTGGCAAGGAGAAATGCTACCTCAGGGGCAGGACGTCCCAAGCACGCAGGTCAATACCTACAGAAGCAGGAATTATAGGCTTACACGTCTTACAAAGACAATGACATACCCGAATCTCTTGAAGGTTGTGAAAATTATTCCCTACTCGAACCGAGATCTTGCTGGGAGTATAGCTTTCGTCTGATTTATAGTCTGCATAGATGCACAAGGTCTTCACGGTTGTTTTTCTCCTGAAAGCAAAGAGGTACAAACAACATGTCCATCTTAACGTGGCGAAAAAAAGACTTCAAGACACCTCCTGATCTCAAGAGTCGGTGTGGTAAGGTATATCTCTGCACCAGCAATTTCTGGTTCCTTTTATTTTAATAATGAGGAAAATAACATGCCAGACAGACAACTGGAATTCTGGTGGCAAACAAAAGGCCACAGGTGAGAAAGCCTGATTTACAACTCCGAACACCTGAGAACGAGATAACCTTATCAGCCAACATTAATTCCATTTTAAACGCTTACCTACGATAATTAAAAAGGAAAATGTACAGCGTGTCTCTTCTCCTCCTTTGCAAAGCAGGAACATGCTGGTCGGAATAGCAGCTGACAGCGGAGAGTGACAGACGGGACGGAGAAGGGTCCCGTGCTGACGACAGCACGGGGCTGCCCCAATGCCCGGCTGCCAGCTTCTTCCTCGAGCAGCACCAAGACGTGCCTTTCCCACCAGCCTCTGAGATTTTTCCCACCACATGATTTTCAACTTTATTTTTTTTTTAATGTGGGAGTGGGCTGGAGCGATAGCACAGCAGTAGGGCATTTGCCTTGCATGCAGCCAGCCCCGGCCGAGCCGGGTTCGATTCCTCCGCCCCTTTCAGAGAGCTCGGCAAGCTTCGGAGAGTGTCTCGCCCGCACGGTAAAGCCTGGCAAGCTCCCCGTGACGTATTCAATATGCCAAACACAGTAACAACAAGTCTCAAAATGGAGATGTTACTGGGCCCACTCGAGCAAATCGATACACAACGGGAGGACAATGTGGGAGTGGGGATGGGAGTTGGGGATGAGGAAGCCACACCCCAGAGTGTGCAGGGCTTGCTCCTGGTTCTGTGCTCAGGGATCATGCCTGGCAATGCTTAGGGGGCCGTGTGTGATGCCACGGATCAAACCCAGAGCCACCACACACAAGTCAAGAACTTTAACCCCGGCACGATCTCTTCAGTAGCAATATCTGTTATTTTGTTGTTTTTTTTTGGGGGGGGGAGTCACATCCAACAGTGCTTAGGGATCATTCCTGGCGGGTCAGGGGACCTTATGGGATGTTGGGGATCGAACAAGGGCTGGCCACTGTACTATCACTCTGGCCCCCAATACCTACTATTTGTAAATGAAATCAGTACTCTAATTGTTCTGCATGCTTTCCAAGGGGGTGCACGGTGCAATCACGGCTCTGATGCAGTTTTCCTAGGATGTCAGAACACTGAGTCTGCTATGCTACAGCAACAGGGCCCGGGCTCACCTCTTGCGAGGCATTCGCTCCAACCCCTAAAATTCACCCAAGGAAATGACAGAACACCAAAAAAAGGGTGCACTTCACAAAACGCTAAGAGAGAAAGAGAGAAGGGCAGGCTGCATTTGGGACAGAGAGGAAACAGAGGTATGTGTATGACTGAGCTTCAGGAATCTGTACCAGCTACACAGATGTACTTATTGATGCGTAGATGTCTATATGCTCAGCCAATACTTTTCAAGATGATTTCAACAACTATGAAATGCACAGCTATCGACATCCTCATTCAACCACAATTGTAGGAAACAGATTTTTTGCTGGACTTCTCTAATGGTTGAACTCAACCTCCCTCTCTGAAACAAAATTGTTGGTATCTTTCTTTGCACTGTTTTTTGAGGCCACACCCAGGAGGAGAAGGGGTCCTATGTGGGAAAAGAGATGGAACCTGGGCCCCCTGCATACAAAGCAGGCACTCAGCCCAGTGAGTTCCCTCTCTGATCTTCAGTATTCTTTAAATATACTTGGGTTCTTCAATAAATGTCTCTGCATTAGTAGAATTATGAATGACATATATACGTATATGCCATTATGTGTGTGTGTGTGTCTGTGTGCGTTTGCGCGCGCGCGCGCGTGTGTGTGTGTGTGTGTATGTGTATGAAGCCAAAGTAAAAGTGATACCAGGAGGGATAATACGGGAATTTAGGCACTTGCCTTGCAAGCAGCTGACCCAAGTCTGATCCCTGGCACCACATGTGGTCCCCAGACACCACCTGGAGTGATCTCTATATAGTCAGGTGTAAGCCCTGAGCCAAGCTGGGTGTGGCCCCAAAACAAAAAAGAAAAGAAATTACAATCAAGATCACATTTAAGATAATTTGCAGAAACTCAGAAATGTAAGATAGTGCAGCAGGTAGGATGCTTTACTTAGCTGACTTGGGTTCAATCCCCGGCACCCAATATTGTCACAAGTCCACAATAACAAAGAGCAAAATTCTACTACCTATGAACTGCCTGTGGCCAGTTCTTTTTCTGTCAAGAACTGAGCATCTCAACACTGAAAATGTCTTTAAAGATTCCTAGTTAGAAAAAAAAAAAACAATAAAACTCCTTTTTTCCAAGTGGAAACATAAATCTGAGGAGTAAAATGAGCCAATCAGCAAAGAATAATTTTCTGAAGTAAACAATATAGAAAAATATGAGAATTACCAAAGGCAATTCTGTTAAGGTGCCATAAAGAATAAAACACAGAGTAAACACGAAAAAACACAATCGAGTTTTCCGAAAAATAATCTCAGAGCTCCTAATAAGGTCTGGTGCATTTCACTACCGTTGAAATGTGTCTTGGCGTAATTAAAATTTAGCACAATTAAAAAGAGATTTCTCTGCCCACTTAGAACAGCATGAAACTGCAGGCGTGTTTTACCTGAACTGGATGTTCACCAAGTGAGGCTGGGAGCCATCTGACTGCCAGTAAGTTTCTAGGTTGTCATCTCGTAACTGGTCCACTCCAAACCCTAAAAACACACAAGAGACAGTAAGTTCTCATAATAAAAAAAAAAAAGGGCTCTTGATTCAAAGCATGATGTCTCCATGAGTATCTGCCAGGGAAGATAAGCTACGTAGGGTGGTCAGCACTGTGCAATCAGACAGACACACTTCTTCCAGACTCTTAACCAAACTTCAGCTCCCACGAGACATCATGTGCACACATGGAAGTTTATACTATTAGAACCAAGTTTCCTCAGTTACCTGACTTCAAAAAAATTTTTTTGAAATCATTATTACTGAGGAAACATTGTCATAGTGTTATTCTTATGCTGGTGTACAATACTGGCCTTAGTTTTTAAAGAATATCGTCTTGGGGCCAGAGTGATAGCACGGCGGGTAAGCCTTGCGCATGGCTAACCTGGATTTGACCCGCCGCATCCCATATAACCATCCCCTCGGCCCTGCTAGAAGTCATCCCGAAGGCAGGGTCAGGACCAATCACACAGTCAAGTGTGGTCCCAAAACAAAAACATACAGAAATTCAAAAAACTAAAGAATATCATCTAGGATTCACTCCAAAGTCAACAGGCATTTGAACCCACTTTTTCTTTTATGTTTTTAAATAATTTCCCTTTCCCTTTGGCTATTGCTACTGAGTTTCTCATGGCTTAGAGCTCCATCGTGGGTACTGCTGAATCCTCTGCTCCATGTGCTCTGAATATGTTCTCCTAGGTCTCAGACTGGACTCTTAAGTTTGCACATGGAAAAGAGTAAACAGCTTTTGCACTGAGGAGGAAATTATTTTTTCCTTGAATTCTCCAATATTAGAAGCTGACCAGTAAGCAAGACCAAATGGCAAAGTAAGGAAAGAGAAAGACATGTAATGTTTCCCACCGAGGTGATAGGAGACAAGAGTCCCACCAGAGTGAATGAGGGTCCCATTCCACCACATCCCCACCACCACTGGTTGTTTCCCATCTTTTCTAGGGGCATGAGGGCTCCCAAATGGTGCTCATGAGGTCTGGGGGTCCAACCAACAATTCTTGGCCAACTGGTCCTGCTGTTCAAGGCAAGAACTCGATGTCGCTTGGGCCGTGGGGTACAAGGCATGTCCGGCACCTCTGTCCTGGGAACCCCCAGAGACACACCCTATGATGCTAGGAACGGAAGGACCCTGTGGTGCTAGGAATGGAAGCAGGCCGGGCACTGCCGGACTATCTCTGACTGGTTTGATTTGCGTTCCCCAAGAACAAGTGACAACGAATAGTCTTCCTAGGCCTCCCAGCCATTGTACATTCTTTCGAGGACGTATATCAAAACCATACACGTTCACACATACACCTACGTTCACTGCTGTGCTATTTACAAGAGCCAAGATCCGGAACAACCACAATAGCCAGAATTCTGGAAACAACCCAAGCGCCTGAGAAGAGATAACTGGTTAAAGAGACTGGTACATCTACACTGTGGAATACTATGCAGCTGTTAGGAAAGCTGAAGTCATGAAATTTGCTTCTAAGTGGCTGGCCATGGAGAGTATCACGCTAAGTGGAATGAGTCGGAAAGAGAGGGACAGACATAGAAGGACTGCACTCATTTGTGGAATATAAAGTAACATAATAGGAGACTGACACCCAAGGACAGTAGACACAAGGGCCAGGAATACTGCCCCACAGTTGAAAGCCTGTCTCATCAGCTGGGGGAGAAGGCAGCTGGAATAGAGAAGGGCTCACTAAGTCAACGATGGTTGGAGGAATCGTTCGGGATGGGAGATATGTATTGAAAGTAGATAAAGGTCCAAACGTGATAGCCTCTCAGTATCTGTATTGCAAACCATAATGCCCCAAAGTGGAGAGAAAGTATGGGGGAAATTGTCTGCCATGGAGGCAGGGGAGGGTTTGAAAGGAGGATGGGGGAGGATAATGGGGACATTGGCGGTGGAGAATGTGCACTGTGGAGGGATGGGTGTTCGATCACTGTATGACTAAAACTCAAACATGAAAGCTTTGTAACTGCATCTCACGGTGATTCAGTAAAAAAAAAAAAAAAAAAAAAAAAAAAAAAAAAAATCCGGAACAACCCCAGTGCCCAAGGCCAGAGAGAGGCTAGGCGAACCACAGCAGGGAGACACTATGGAACCCGCCTCGGCTGCAGGAAAAAGAAGAATGGCAACGGGCCGTGGCTTGGATGCAGTGGAGGGTCCAGGCCCAAGGAAGCTAAGTCGGAAGCAAGAGACAAACGCTGGTCTCACTCCAGGGCAGACTGAAAGGAAACAAAGAGAAGGATCAGAAAACTTGCAACTGAACAAATCCTGAGATGCGACCAACAGAAGTGGCAGCTGGGGGAGGACGCCCCTGGGACAGGGGTGGAGGCATCCGCACCCCCGGGAGAGCGCCTGGGGGGCCTGGGAAGCAGCCCTGTCACGACTGGAAGCTAGGATTTCTCAGTTTAAAAGTTTTAATTCAAATAATAAAGCCATAGATGTTAGTGATACTGTTAACTATGCTGCAGTAGGGGTCGGAGCAATACTATGGTGGGCAGAGCGTTTGCTTTGCACACAGCTGACCCGGGTTCGATTCCCAGGATCCCACATGGTCCCCTGAGCTCCGCCAGGAGTAATTCCTGAGTGCAGAGCCAGGAGTAACCCCTGTGCATTGCTGGGTGTGACCCAACAAGCAAAAAAAAAAAAAAAAAAAAAAAGTTGCAGTAAAAAAAAAAAAACCTAAAAATTATATTAATAGGGTCAGAGTGATAGTACAACAAGTGGGACACTTGCCTTGCATGCAGCTGACCCGGGTTCAGTCCCCAATATCCCATTTGGTGGCCTGAGCACCACCACTGGTAATTCCTGAGAACAGGGTTAGGAGTAATCACTGAGGTGTGAAACCCTCGTCTCAAAAAAAAAAAAAAAAAGAAGAAGTTAATAAGATGTTGAAATTTAACTTAAATTTGGCACTGATCAAGAAAAACCTCTGGGAGCTGGAATGACAGCACAGCGGGCAGGGCGTTTGCCTTGCACGTGATCAACCCAGGTTCGATTCGCAGCATCCCATGTGGTCCCCCAAGCATGAGCCAGGAGTAACCCAAAAAGAAAACAAAGAAACAAGCAAACAAAACCTTCTCTACAGGAAGCAAATGTTGACACTCAGGGAGTGGGGAGGCCAGGTCAATCCACCAGGGGGGGGCGCAGACTGGAAACTACAGACGCAAAGGGACCCTTGTGCCCTTAGCTGAGTGATACAGACTCTGGTGCACTGAGGTGAGTGTAAATTACCATGAAAGAGACTAACCTCCTGAAGATGCTTTAGTAGGTCAAACCACAGAATCAGGGAGTCAGATCAGCACCAGTGAAGAACCTAGTCACTGTGGCAACTCAAACTGCAATAAATGCTGTGCTGGACATGGGCTGCACTCATGAGTGACTACAGGAAAAACGGGACAAACAGCATCCTCTCTCACCACAGACAAGTTGCTAAGGCTGCAAATATGGGGCAATTACTCACGTTCCAACTTTCAGATCTGCACCACACAATACAGGAGAGTCTGGCCCGACTGCTTGGGAAGCAGAAAGGGCCCATAAGAGTCGCTCAGAGGCATATTCGCTGCCCGAGCCCAGGTGCTGCTTGTGCCCACGTGGCCGAGCACATGTGTCACCCGCATCTCCCCTCTTGAGATGAGGACTTTCATGCTTTAGTGTCTAATGCTGGGATGTGTGTAGGGGCTCTCTCCGCCCTTGGAGAAGCCCGCATTCTCTCTTGAGCGCGGTACTCTCACTTTCACCCTCTTTCCCTCCACACCTTAAAAGCCTTCAAATAAAATCTGTTTTACTTAAAAAAAAAAAAAAAAAAAAAAAAAAAAGAAGAGAGACGCTCAGAGACTGGCTAGTCTGGGCTGCAGAGAGCTCGGGGCTGGTCAGCTCAGTCCCAATCCACATCATCTCCCACACACTCCTGCACGAGCTGGGACTCTGCTGCTGTCCATGGGCCTCGACTGCCAATCTCCACCAACAAGGGCCTGGTGGCTGATTTTTCGAAATTCTCTATTGAACGTCTGGGCTCAGGGAAGGAGGGAGGCAGAACAGACCCACAGAGGCGGACTGCCTTGAGCCTGTCCTCCTCATTTGAATGCATGCTAAATCCTGCAGCAGAAATCAACATGTGATCATTGCTGAATGCCTTAATTACAACAGGACAGTTCTAGCATCCAGAAAATTATTTAAAAAGAAAAACCCATCTGACTTTTGGAGACTTTATCAAAGCCACTATTTATGTATACATTAAGTATTCGGAATAAGATGTGCCAGCAAGCGCTAATAAAGGTGACATCGCTATATCCCCTGGAGAGTAACATGCACTTAAATCTGTAATTCCTCTACTAAACTGTGAACCTCTGGACAGCAAGGACTATATGCTTTTTTTCTCTTTCAATGGCTAGCAGTGTTACACATTTCAGCAATAGTCCACTGACTTGAACTGAAAAATATCCAACCATAGGGAAGTCTAAGAAAGTTATTAATGAGGAAATTCTCTTTAAGAATAGTCAGGCATGCTCAGTGCATAAGGTGACATTTCACTGGAGGATTCAGAGCTCAAAATCACCCCAAGTAAGGGCCAGGGTGACAGCACAGTGGGGAGGGTACTTGCCCAGCATGCAGCTGACACAGTTTCCCAGTACCACCTGGGGTCGGTCCCCCTAACACTCAGGAGTCCTGAGTGCAGAACCAGGAGTAAGCCCTGAGCATCACTTGGGTGTGCCCCCCCAAACAAAAATCACTTTAAATGTTACTTTGTGGTTGATAATGTGGAACTAAAAAGATGTGAAATTAGGCCTTCTTTGCTAAATATTTAAAATACAACTCCTTTGCTTCGTATATGAGAAGTTCATTGGTCATCGTTTCTTGGAAAGAAAGGAGTCAGGTCAGAATCTGAACCTGCTGTTGTAAATGTAATCCTAGAGCTGACCAACTTTGCATAGACACTGCTTTTACCTTTTTTCAGGCATCCATCTGATGCAGATGTGTCTTGGTGCAGGGAGGGGGAGGAGTCACCAGAAAAAAAAAATCAATCAAATAAAACGCAAGACACGACAGTGATGTACTTCATGAACCTCACATTCAGCAGGCTGAAGTGACCCACCAGAGACCCGTAGGAAGTTTCCAGCCTCTTTCAGCAAAGCACCAGAGGCGAGCTCCAACGCCGTCACAAAGGGATGCAGGGAGGACCGAAAGGCTGGAATCTACCAGGGGCCAGACAGGAAGTCAGGAGGTACGGTGACTGTTCAACCCTGGGACCACATATGGTCCCCCAAGCACCACCAGAGGTCACGCCTGAGCAGAGCCAGCAACAGTCTCCGAGCACCACCCCCAGCCCACTAAAAAGACTGGGGCCTAGACATCAGCATAGCAAGTCTGCTTACCCCACAACTTAACTGCTTACCCCACACGAAAAGGTCTTCCACACATTATCAGGAGACTGCAGTGGAAAGACAGAAACAACCCCAAGGGTGTGGAAACTGAACAACAAGACGTTACAATCCGTAAGGCAAAACTGATAGAACTGCAAGAAGTGGACAGGTCGTACTATGCAAATCCAAGTACAGCTGAAGACTTCCAACTCTCCTCTCTGAGTGACAGAAAATCAGAACGGGAACACGGTTGAATGACACAGTGCCATCACTCAGCGGAACCCACTGGAACTTACTGGTTCCAACACAGAAGAACACAGAAGCAGAACACAGAGAATCCAGAATGCAGCAGAACACAGAAACTTCTAAGGAAGAGTGTCCTGGGGCCAGGGTGACAGCTCAGCAGGCTGGAAGACAGGTTGGGTCCACCGGAGCCCCAGGCTGAACCCCTGAACCGGCACTGCACAGTCCCGCAAGCACTGAACAGCAGCCCCAAGCACTTCTCAAAACATTCAAAGTCTGCACAACAAAAATAACCAAGGGTGAAAAAGCAAGTGAAGTTTTTGAATACTTGTAATGGAAAAAAAAAATCTGAATTATCCAAAGTTGTGAGAGATAATGAAATGGCATAGGGGCCAAGAGATAGTACAGTGGGCAAGGCATTTGCCCTGTGCATGACCAACCCGGGCATCCCATATAGTCCCACGAGCACCACAGGAGTCATTCCTGAGTGCAGAACCAGGAATAATCCCAGCATCACTAGATGTGGCCCTAAAACTAAAAAACGTAAAAAAAAAAAAAAAGGTGTTTAAAAAAGAAATAGCATAGAAATTTCTAACATGGAGTACGTATACTAAAAGAGACCTATAATTAGTAATCTAAGTTTTCACCTGAGAAACTAGAAAAAGGGGTGCAAGTGAAATTCAAAATAAACAGAAACATTTTTTTAAAAAATCAGAGCGGGTATCAATGAATTCAAAACAGGAAATAGAGAAAAAGCAATGTAACCATAAGCAAGTTTTTTTTAAAAGACTAATAAAAGAGGTTGTTAGATAAATAAAAGATAAATTATTAGAAGTTCTTAAGCTTCTAACAAAGGTGGATTAACCAAGGAAAAAAGGAAGAGAACACAATTAATAATACTGCGGTGGGAAAGGCTCATGGGAAGAGGCACCAAGCAGCTATTACTGTATATCCGTCAATAATAACGGAGTTTTATAAACAACTTTATACATACAAATCTGATAATTTAAATAAAAGGGCCCAATTCTTGGAAAGACACAACCTACCAAAATCTACACAAAGAGGTCATCTAAAGAGACCTATACTACTATTACAGAAACTGAATAGAAAAGTAGTGACCTTCCAAAGTAGAAATCACTTAAGCTTCACGGTGAACCCTACCCAACATTTCGAAAGGAAATACTGCCAACTCTCTACAATCTCTTCAGACAAAAGTACAACGAAACCCTCCTCATTACAAGCGGCATTACTCTAACACCAAGATCAAACAGTTTCTGAAAGAAAAATCTCAAAACATTTGGAAATTGAGCCGAGGTGTAAAACAGTAATTCTCTGGAGCACAGATGCAAAATATCTCAAGAAATATCCCCAAACAGGATTCTTCTTGTGACAGAATTGTGGGGGCTGGAGCGACAGTGCAGTGAATAAGGTACCTTGTACAAAGACTCACTCCAGGCACAACAAGAACACGAGAAAACCAATGGGGGAAACATGGAGAAATTTTGCCCGACAAGTTCAATGAACAAAAACAGTATCACCAAAGACATAAACTACACCAGTAAATCCTCAGATTATGTCTTTAGTGACACCATAATGAGGATGTTCAAGGAGCCCAAAGAAATTATAGCACAGGCAGTCAACAGAACACAAGAAAGTAGAAGAGCCATAATTAAAAAATTACTAGAGTCAGAAATGACAGAAAAGAAGAACATGGTAGGTGATAGTTTAAAAAGCCAGTAAGACTCTGAACAGGAGAAGAACAGAAGCTGAGTAAAAGATCGGGAAGCTCCCAATAGGAGAGAGAGAACAAAAGGGAATGCCCTGCCACAGAGGCAGGGTGGGGTGGGAGGGATGGGGGGTGGGAGGGATACTGGGATCCGTGGTGGTGGGAAATGGGCACTGGTGGAGGGATGGGTACTTGATCATTGTATAACTGAAACCCAAGCACAAAAATTTGTAAGTCTACAACTGTACCTCATGGTGTCTCACTAATAAAAATTAAAAAAAAAAAAAAAAGATTGGGAAGCTCCAAAATGAGGAGGAAACCGCTAGGAAACAGCAGAAGGCAAGAAACAGTCTGATGGGCCGGAGCGATAGTACAGTGGGGAGGGCGTTTGCCTTGCATGCGGCTGACCCAGGTTCGATTCCCAACATCCCATATGGTCCCCCGAGCACTGCCAGGAATAATTACTGAGTGCAGAGCCAGGAGTAACCCCTGTGCATTGCCGAGTATGACCCAAAAAGAAAAAAAAAAAAACAAAAACTAAGATACTGTCTGAAAATAAATGGACAGCATACCAGAGAACTATGGGATGAATTCAAAGGGAACAGCGTAGAAATCATGGGAGGCCCTGAAGAACAGGAAGACAAATGTGATGAAGAAACAATAGTGATAGGTATTGAGAAGAATGTCCCAGAGATGAGGGTCACAAGCACTAAGAATTCAGAGGCCCAAAGGGACCCTGAGAAAATGACTCAAGTAGGAAAACTCCACTGACACAAGGCACATAAACAGTCAAGACAGAAAGCGACAGATCAAAAAAGGAATCTACACTGGAAACTTACAAAGGAATTTACAAAAGGAACTAAAGGAAAGCCCATGCAATATAAGCAGATTGATCAAATGAGTCTCTCTTCCTCTCCTGGAGTATGCGAGGAGACAGGACAAAAACACAGAGAAATGAAGTCCTCGCCAAGAAGACTCTCTCCAGCTAGATTCCCCGTCAAAAGATACAGAGCTTTGGGGCTGGAGCGATAGCACAGCGGGTAGGGCGTTTGCCTTGCGCGCAGCCGACCTGGGTTCGATTCCCAGTATCCCATATGGTCCCCCGAGCACTGCCAGGAGTAATTACTGAGTGCACGAACCAGGAGTAACTCCTGTGCATCGCCAGGTGTGACCCAAAAAGCAAAAATAAATAAATGAATAAACAAATAAAAAAGATACAGAGCTTCATGACAGGAAACACCTTAGGGAATCGATAGACACGAAGCCAATTTTGCAAGAAGCATTAAATGAGCTTCTCAAATGGACAGGTGGAATTTCCCAACATGAGACAAAGACTATGGCCCTGAGTTCAGGGTTCACTCCTGGGAAACGCAGCTCACCTCCAAAACGCACACCTCGGAACTCTACATACTAATATCCCAGCAGGAGACATTAGATGGGAAAGTAACACAGAAACCAAGAAAGCTCAATAAACAAAATAACACAAAAGCCTCAACTAGCATCAGCTTGTAAACCCTCCAGCAAAGACTTAAAGTTCCCATGGGGAGATAGAACACTTCCACAAATTTCCTTTAAGTATTTTTTTTTTTGATAAATGCATTAGCTATTTAGCTGTAACAAGCAATGTAAAGTAATTCTGTGCCTGCTAAAGAGGCAGGCTTGGGGTATGGTTGGGAAAATGGGGACAATGGTGGAGGGAAGGTCACACTAGTGTTGGAATATTGAATGTCTGTAACAAATGTATCATGAACAACATTGTAAACCACAGTGTTTAATGGCCGGAACACTCACATTTTATCTATCCAGAGACATCAACAAAGAAAACCACTAACCAAGTAACAGCTGAATCACAAAGAGAAAGTGAAGGGGAAAGAGATGTCCTATCCCCCGAGTCCAGGTGGCTACTAGTAGACCTCGGGGAAGGGATACAAAACGGATGACAAGCCCATTAAACTTACTCCTAAGTGAAAGCATGTCAACAGTCCAATGGCTAAGGCAACCGTAACCAGTGATCTTGCTTTTTTGTCTTGTTTTCCTTTTACCTGGTTTGCAAGATGAGAGTGACCAAACAGCCTGGGACCCGATTTCCCGCACTGTTCCCGTCCTTTCCAGCTGCTTAGGGTCTGCACCAGGAGGTGTCTTATTTGGGGTGGTCATTTCTGGAACATTCTATGTACACAGAAAAAGAGAATACGGACGTTAACATCAGGCCCTGAACATCATTCTGCAAAAGTAAAATTCTCAAGTAAAATGGGTCACTCGTATACCCTTGACAGTGACCAGTGACCTAGCTGTCAGAAGTAGGTAGCGGAACTTTTTGTAATTAAAAAATAGGAGTTGAGAGAGAACATAGCTCAAAAGGCTGAAGCTGAGAATACTCTCTGCATGAGGCACTCCCGTTTCAAAGCCCCAAGGTGCCTCAAGCACCCTGACACTCCCAGTACCACCGAGTATGACCCATAGGAAAATAAAATCTCGGCGATTCGGTTTAGTTTCTCAAATATATTAAGATTTACAAGACATCCTATGAAGCGGAGGGCACAGATAAAAAAAGGGTTTTGCTCCAGCCTCTCCTTTAATTAGCCTAGACTTGGGTGTTTCTTAGCACTACTCACTCTATAATCCACCAATACTACACGCAAATCCGTACATCCAGAAGTCAAATTTAGGGGCTGGAGTGATAGTACAGTGGGGAGGGCGTTTGCCTTGCACTTGCCTGATCCAGCATCCCATATAGTCCCTCCGTGCACAGCCAGGAGTAACTCCTGAGCGCAGAGCTGGGAGTAAGCCCTGAGCATCGCCGGGTGTGACTCAAAAAGCCAAAAACAAAACAAAACAAAAACAAAAGTTAAATTTGGCAACGCAAATAAGAATTTTGGCCTACGGACTGAAAGACTCAATTCACTTTTAGTTGTCAAAAGTTGTGTTCATATGCGCTCTTACCAAGAACGATTAAAAAAAAAAAGGCTTTAAGATTTAGAAGGAGAAAACTGGGGATGGGAGAAATAGTCCAGGAGTTGAGGCATTTGAGGCATTTGCCTTGCACGTGGCTGACCCGGCTTCAATCCCCAACCCTCATCCCTCAAGCCCCACCACGAGTGAGCTCTGAGCACAAACCCAAGAGTAAGCCCTAAGCATCACCTAGCGTGGTCCCAAAAGTCAAAAACACCAACACCAACAATCAGGTGAAAAACTGGCCTGTTGTAAATCAAAAGCTTATCTCCCATTCATCTTGTTAAGTCCATACAATGTGGGAAAAAAGTGGAGGGGCGGGAAATACCTCTAAATAAAACTGGTAAGTAGCATCTTGGACTCTATTACAAACGTGGCACAATTGTCTGTCTCCTGGCCACGTCCTTTTCCAGATCTTAAATTGTTTGCAAATCACCCCCACAAGCATTTGAATGCTGATTAAAGGCTTCGGAGAGGCGCTAGATTTAAATGCTGATAAATTAGGAATTTCGAGAGTATCTCGCCCGCATGGCAGAGCCTGGCAAGCTCCCCGTGACGTATTCGATCTGCCAAACACAGTAACGACAAAGTCTCCAATGGAGACGTTACTGGGCCCGCTCGAGCATATCGATGATCAACGGGAGGGCCTTTACTTTTTTTAAATTAGGAATTTCCTCGATGGCTGCATCAGAAACTGGAGTGTCGGCCACCCACCAACCAGCAGGTTAACTGAGGTGTAAAGGGGAGGTCTAAATGGGACTGAAAGACTCAGGGAACTGGGCTGGAAGCTGGCGAAATGGAGGTCATTTGTCCGACAGATGGCAGAGGTGGAGGGGACGTTAAAGTGACTTGAGAGCCAGGAAGGCGTGCAGGGCCTCAATGTGGTGAACCCCGAAGGCATTCCCATCAAGAGCACCGGGGACAACCCCACTACCACTGCAGTCTGCCAGCCAGCCTTATGCACAACTTCACCTTGAAGGCCCGGAACACTGTGCGGGAAACTGACCCCCAGAAAGACCTCACTTGGCTTCGCATTTGTTCCAAGAAAAATGAAGTTAAGGTTGCACCGCATAAAGGCTATTTCCTGATTGTGACTGCGTAAGTCATCTCTTGGCTTCCTGCAGCATTCCTGAATTTAAGCCCACCCCCCCTCCCGTGAATCTTGTCCATCATGTCAACCTTCCTACCGGCACTTGGAAATCAACTTAGACCTTCCTCCGACCAGTGACCGTGGGAGGCTGCAGCTCCTCCCGGCCCACCACTGCCACCACCCCTCAGTATCCTCTCTCATTCACTTTTCCAGCAGAACCTATGAGAAGCCCACGCCTTGCATCCTTCTGACCTTCAGTTCATTTGCTTTTCTTTAACGAAAAATCAGTTAGTGCTTTAAAAAAACAAAAATAGAGAGGGGGGGAGGGTAAAGCAATGAAACCTGCCACCACCCTCGCAAGCTCAATATCCCAGGAGGGTCTTGGGGACTGGAGCAATGGCACAGCGGGTAGGGCGTTTGCCTTGCACCCGGCCGGGGTTCGATCCCAGCATCCCATATGGTCCCCTGAGCACCACCAGGAGTAATTCCTGAGTGCATGAGTCAGGAGGAGCCCCTGTGCACCGCCGGATAGTGACCCCAAAACCTATATATATATATATGTATATATATATATATATATGCATCCCAGGAGGGTCAAACAGAAACACACGGACCGGCCAGACCCCGCACCCGGGCGCGCACCTGACTCTACTGTGCCGGGGAAGACCTCAACTGCCCGACTGGACCCCAGCAAGATAAAAGAACCCGGAGCTCGGGGGGTGGGGGAGCCTAGCGTGCTGGACACTCGGGTCGTCGGAGCAGGGGCCGGGGGGATGCACCGGACAGGCCCGGGCTCTCGGCCTCCCCGCACCGCGCACAGACGACCCCCGAGAGGGCCGGAGCCGGAGACCCGGGGCGGCCCTGCAGCGCGTGGACTGCGCGGCCGCACGGCGGTCCCGGGACGCAACTAACTAACTTACTTACAGTCCGCCGGGCGGCCCCGCACCTCGCAGCTCGCAGCTCCCCGGGACCGCTGCGCCGCGCCGCGCCCCGCCCACTCGGGCGCCGGGCGGGCGTCGCCGCGCAGTGACGTCACTCGGCGGCGCCTCCCGGCCGCGCGCGCGCGCGCGCACTGCGTGCCTATGGCGAGCGCGAGGCGGCGGCGGCGGCTGGGCAGCGCCATTTTGGCCGGCGGCCGTATAGGAGCACGCCGTGTGACCGACACGTCAAGGCCAGGGGCGAGCCGGCCGGCCTCCGCGCTGCCCGCCGCGAGCCGCGAGCCGTCACCAGGTAGGCCGGGCGAGGCCGGGGCGGCGGGGCGGCGGCGGCGGCGGCGGCGTTGGTGGCGGCGGCCGAGCTCCGAGCGCCGCCTCCGGGGAGGCCTCCGCGTGGCAGCTGGCTGGGGCGGCCGGCGCGCGCGGCGCCTGGTCCAGCCGCTCGCCCACCCGCGGGAGCGCCGCGACCACCGCCGGGGCCCGCGCCCCCCGCCCCCGACGCCCACCCCCCACCGAGTCCCCCTGCCCGGGGCCCCGGCGGCCGGACGCGGGGGGTCGCGGGCCGCAGGGCTTGGCGTGACTCACGGCATCCCGGCGCCATGAGTCGGCGGCGGCGGCTCCTCCCGGTCCGCTCCCAGGCTCCGGGGGGGGCGACGGGCGCGACCCCCACCCCCACCCCCAGGGCACCCCCTCGGGTGCCTGCCACGCGACCACCCTCCTCCCCGCCTAGAGGTGGCCGCTGTCCCCCTTGTCCCTGGACCCCGCCCCATCCCCCCTCCCGCCCGAGGTCACGGCTGGCGGGGGGTGATGGGGGGTCGGGGGGGGCTTCGCTCCCCGGGCCGGGGGATCCCTTCGGCGGGGGGTGGGTGGTCTTGTCGCGGGGAGAGCCGAGTTTCCCCCTTTCCGGGGGGTTCCGGCGGGGACGGACACGGAGCTGTCAGCACCGGCCCCGGCCCCAGGACGCCGGGGGTGGGGGCTGGTGTGTCTAACGCCTGGACCGCGCATCTTCCCCGGGAGATGCAGGACAGGTGGCTCGGAGACTAGATGAAAGCCCCTGCCTGGCTCGCGGCGGACCCCCCGCCCCCCAGTTCCATCCCGGGCACTGCAGACATCACCCTCCACCCCAACCGCCCCCCCCCACTGCTGCTAGCAGTAAGCTCTGAGTTCCCCAGGTGTGGTCCCAAGACGACCCCCCCCTCTTAACACACACACACCCTATTTATTATTGGGGAAGAATGCTTAATTGCCGGGAGAGAGAGGGGAAAAAATAAAAAGCTGTCTTCCTTTAGTGCCCCTTCAAAGTGGCTTCAGTTCAAGGCTGAGTTGAGGCGTGCGCTCTTGCCACACTCCCTGCTCACCTGGTTTATGAGGCCAATAATTGAATCGGAAGCACAGGCTCGACTGTTTCAAGGGAAAGCGAGCATCGTTCCTTAGCAACGGTCCTTTGAGTGTTTTTACGCAGCGGGGTGACAGTTCTGGCCTGCGATGCAGTGTCCCATATGTGTGCCCGGCTTGCTTTATGTCCCCTCCCAGCTGGAAGATTGACAGTGACTGGGGCGTTGTTTGAGTTCCTGGTCTGAAGTTTGTTTCCAGGTCTGAAATGTCCCAAGAGCCTCTTTCCCGGCTTGGCTGTTGTGGGTTGCCTTGGAAAAGAAAATAAAATCCTTCCCCTCCCCCCGCCCCTCCAACACGGCTCAATTTTGAAAGTAATCTCGGAATGTAATTAGAGTATTTTTATGAAATGCGTTCTGTCGCTTTTGTCTGATCGGCTTTTTTTTTTTTTACTATCATCTGGCGATGTTTTTTAATTCTGCAAAAGATATACTCTTTGGTAATTTTATTTTTGTTAAGGACTTGAAATATGTGAGAATGAAGAGAAAGAAAAGCACTTTATAATATACCCTATTTTTTAAGTGTTTGTTTTTTAATAGTGTAGCTATAGGGAAGGTTCGCTGAGGACCAAAGCCATGTAAGTTGCTTGGGAGAACAGCATTGCAGGAAGAGAAGTACGCGCCAGGACCCCCGAAGCCAGCATCTACGGGGCATTCAGGACAGCAGGGATCTGAGGCTGCAGAACGAGCACAAGTTGATGGCACTCCTCTGGTTATCTTAAGGACTTTGCCTCTTCCTCGGAAGAAGACATTGGATGAGCAGAGGAGAGGCACGGTTTGGCTTCTACTTTCAAAGAACCATTCTGGCTCCTGTTTCGGAAACGGAACTGTAGAGGCTTGGATAGAGGGTAGCTTAGAAGGCAAGATATCTGTTAGAAACTATTAAGAGTAATATAGATAAGAAATAATTATGGCTTGCAGCCAGTCATGAGAAGCAGTTAGATTCTGGCTGCTCGAAGATGAGGTCTATGAAATCTGTTGTGTGTAAAAGATGACTTGAAGAATCCTGGCCTGAGTAATGAAAGACTGCAGCTACTTTAAACAGATTGACAAAGGCTGCTAGTTTGGGAGGTACATCTAGTTCTTCAGAAAGAAATGTTGGGTAATGAGGTAGAGGTCCTACAAATTCAGAATTTAAAAAGGTCTTTGACTCCAGGTGGAAAGGGAGTTAGCATAGAAATATTTTTTTTTCCATTTTTCAGGTGTATATTCATTTTGTATTTTTGATGCATCTGATACTATTCCGGTCCCATAGGAAATAGAACAAAATAGAACCCTGCCATTTTGGTGCTTATTATAAGGAAAGAGAGGCAATAGGTGAATATATTTTATACATATATATATATAACTATCCAATATTGATAACTACCATGACTCAAATAGGGAATTACTTTCTTTAATTTTCAGTTACTGACATAATTTTTGGTAATTGATCGTGAAGAGGAGTTGGTAATAAAAAAGATCCCCAAAAGATGACTAAAGTGGGCCAGAGTGATAATATTGCAGTTAGGATGTTTGCCTTGCATGGCCAACCTTGCTGTGATCCCCAACACCCCAGATGGTCCCCTGAGCACTGCCAAGAGTGATCCCTCAGCACAGAACCAGGAGCTAGTCCTGAACGTCACTGGTTGTGAGTCCAAAACAAAAAGTGACGCCCAAGACTCCCAAATATATTTGTCCACTATCCCCTTTTCAGGAAAGAAATCACTCAGTGCACCCATGGATTGTCTTCAAGGGGCCTCAGTGACACCCGAGGAGATCATACCATTGGTGGCGGGGGGCATGGTGGGAGTCACAGCTTGTGCCCTGGTGCATGGGCATAGTCTGTATTTGAGGAATAGATGTGACTAGAATAGAATCTGTTCTAATCGATGTGACTAGAAAAAGAAAAAAAGTGGTGGGAGTTTTCAATATCTACTACAAATGATCAAAGTAGATATTGTTGAATATTGCTAGAAAACACGATGGCATTAATGGGAGGAGACAGGTACCCAAGTGTAGTGTGCCAGGCAGCACCTTAACCTCTGCGGTCTCTCCAGCCATGGGTCAGCATTGTGTGTGTCTCAAAAAGAAAAAGAATATGTATCAAGTTTAATAAATGGTAACCTAAAATAAGAACTAATAACTGATGGCTTCGCAAGCTGTTTTGATGGAACGATGGGCACTATCGTTGGAAGTGCCCATCTGGAAGGCCTTCCGCAGAAACTAGTGGAGAGAGATTTCCCCGAGTCCAACCCCTGACAACAGAAACGTGAAAGAATCTGGAACACTGACTAGAGACAACTCTTTCCAGTAGTCTTGGTATAGGCAGAGAGAGGAGGGGAGAGCAAAGATGATAATGAGGTCAGAGGCAAGAGAAGCTGATGGGAACGTGAGCAGAGGAAACTGTAGCCTTCATGTGCAAACAGCATTGCCCATTTGTTTTAATCACAGGTCTGAGATTATTGTCTATCCCTCGCCCAGTATTGTGAAAGGATTTGAAGTTCACTTTCACCTTAGCTGAGTAAGTGTTGACACTACTAAATATCAAGACTTTGAAAAGTGATAGGCATGGGACCAGGGCAGAGCTCATGCCTTACATGTCTGAGGTCTGGGGTTCAGTCCTGGGCACACACGCCCCACCAACCTTTCCACTGCTACCTTTGCCCCTCCCAGAAACTAAGTCTACTCCCTATACCTTAGTCATCATTTGCCATTTCAGTAATGCTTAGGTTGAGGGGGAGAGTAAGCTGCTTTATCATTCCCGTTAGCTTCCTGTCCTGTTTTTTTCTTTCGTTGCTTTGGGGGCCACACACAGCAGTTTTCAAGGATTACTCATGAGTCTGTGTTCAGGGATTACTCCTGGCAGGGCTCGGGGGACCATATGAGCTGCTGGGATCAGACCCGGGTCCAGCACATACAAGGCTAGTGTCCTACCCACTATTTATCAGTTCAGCCCTTGTCCTGTTTTAATGTTTTCCTCGGCTATGTTCCTACCATAACTAGTATCACTATTCACTGCTGACGCCTGAAGATCATTTTTTTTTTCATCTCTCAAGTGTGGGTCTCCTCAGCCTCTTCCTCTATAGTTTTAACATAAGCTTTAGATTAGCTTTCTACTGGTTTGTAGATTGGTGAAGGTTGATGAGTTTTTTCCCCTCTTCGGATTGTTGGACACTAATGCTTCTCCCTGTAACAGCTCCCTCTTTCTCTTCAAGCTGTGTCTTTCAGTAGTATTTGGAGGTTTCCTCATCTGGGCATTTATTTTGTAAACTCAGTCCCGGTACCTTCTTATTTTTGGTGACCATCATAAATGCGGTTGTTTCCTTATGTCTTTGGTGGTATGTTTGCCTTTCTAACTTTACTAGGTTATTGGATTGTATTTTAGTTTTTTTTGATAAGCCCATCTGAATCTAATGATAACTTATGGCCTAACTTTTTATGTCTATTATTTATTTCTTACTGTTTTGTCACTACCAAATCGTGTTAATTTTTTTCTTTCATAGACGAGCTGGATATTGTACAATTATGGCAGATAAATTAACAAGAATTGCTATTGTCAACCATGACAAATGTAAACCTAAGAAGTGTCGGCAGGAGTGCAAAAAGAGTTGTCCTGTGGTTCGAATGGGTAAGCTTTGCTTTGGGTTTGTTGAAGGATTTAAAAATATTAAGGAT